AAAGTTCACAGTCCTTTTCTGACTTCGAACCGCGACCGTGACAAATTGGTGATACGTGCGCTCCACGGTACGAACCCCTGTAGACCGCCTTATAAACCGCCGAAAACAGATTTAGGGGGGTGGTGGAAACGTTCTGAGAACGTTCTGCACGAAGTGAGCTCACCGTGAGCCCTCCAATTATTGCCCTCCAGCCAGAAATGCAAACTCGAAACGACGTCGAATCGACGTCGAAGTCAACAATAAGGGTATTTCAGAGCTGGACGTGAAGAAGTAAAATGGAAGAACAAGAGGCGCACTGCTCATGCGCAGATGCAGAGTGGGGAAAGCAGGGGATAGAGTGGGGGCGTCTGCGCGTTCGCAGTGCCCCCTTTGTTCTTCCATTTTACTTCTTCACATCTGGCTCTGAATCGACGTCGATTTCGCGTCGCGTCGGTTGATGAAATCAACAAAATTTCGACGATGCATTTCTGGCTTTGTTCCCTTTTTTATTTCCCTCTCTCACCCGAACACAACGGTGATTTGCCTTCTCGAATAAGCAGACACACTCACACAAACATATTGTTCTAGACCAGGGTCTAGAGAGTAGGGTGCGAATAATCATTAGTATCCGAGTACGCTCAGAGAAGTTTGCGTCCATAAATTTCTCATATCGACCTGTTGCTGTTTCTGTTTCTCTCTCTCACAACAGCAGAGCAGAAGTCATTTTTCTTTCGTTGTAAAATCTGTGGGTCTCTGAAGTCATTCCCATCATATTTTGGTGAGAAACTGTATTTTTGCTGATTACCCGAAGACACGTGCTTTTAAACCAACAAAAACCAGAATATCTGTCTACTTCATCTATCTCCTACATTGTGGTTTCACTATCGTCCACGAATCAAGAATGCACGTGGCCTGGTGGATAGGTTAGGAGAGATGTGGTGAGTTATTGATTTAGTTTAGTTGTAGAATGCACACAAACAGTATAAATGAATGGAAACAGTGAGAGAGGGTGTGACATTTTCTTTCATACAACTTTTTGTATAAATATTCAATTCATTCATTTCATTGAACTGTGTCACCTCCACCCGAAACTTTTTGAGAAAAATAATCGTAAGTTAGTTGAAAGCTAGGATTGAAACCTGTTGGCACCTATCACAACAGAATCTATGCCACATTAACAGTAATTTGCACGTGTTTTGATTATCGCAGTTTCACTTTTAAATGTACGTAGTGTTAACATCAACCTGTCTGATAACTATTCTTTTCCGCATTAATACTGTGGCATCAGCTCAGGTATCCCTTGGTGATGTGTGTACCTACTCATGTATATTATTATTTCCTTCGTACCCAGGCAAGATGCAAAAAGTAATTAATATTCTAGAGACATGCCATTACTGAATACATTGCCATGTACGCAGTAAATATCAACACGGTACATGCCAAGTGTACTTGCATGGATTTTTGCAAACGTTTGTGCTAAGTTAAACCTAGATTTTAATTTGGACAAATTCATATGCAGAAATGATTGATTTTTGTACAAATAAATGCACAAAGGTGTTTACACGCAAGAATTGTGTGCAAAAAACTTGATTGCTTAAATTTGTAAAAATAGACGATACAAATCCAGTTAGTTTGTGCGCAGTGTTAGCGTTGCCTTCCACCAGAACTGATTCTTGTCTGTTTATGGTTGACTGTTGGGTTGACAGCGAAAACTTTCAACCATCTACTTAAGGATTTCCCAGATGAGGGTTTGCTTGGTTTAAAGTTTAAAGGGGTTTTATGGTCACCGGTACTTATTTGTGACATCTCTGAGGTTTTCAAAAGTGTATATTGTTATTCAAACACTGTAACATTTAAACTCAATCGAATGTGTTTCTCTTGCTGCCCATGTCCATGCCTCCGCGCCTGGCCCGCGGTCGGCTCGCGCTACCCGCTGAGCTCCGGTGGTCGAGCCGGTGCGGTGCCTCTGCCGCAGAGCGGATCGTGTGGTGGGTAGGGCTGGGCGGTATAGGCGATTCCAATACCAA